AACGTCAACGTTCCTGCTCCTCTGATGCTGCCTGGCCTGCTGTGTTCCTCCAACTCTACACTGTGTTATCTCTTCTCAAAAACACAATAGTTTTAAAAGTTAGACTACATGAGCCCTTTAAATCAACAGTTAACTGTTAAAAAATAACTGCCAGTCTACCTCATTTCATTGTATGCGTGAAGGTTAATTTACTCATTCATTTGCCACAACAAAATAACCTAACATTGCAATAGAAGATTACTAGAAACTAATCATATTTCTTTCAATATGTTCTGTAAAGTTATGCACTGATCATATTGATAATATATATATTCAATAAATTTAATCATATGGTGGTTTAGAAGACAAATATGAAATACTCAACAATTGATTTATAAAACATAGTCAATCATTCCAAAGAACTCTACTTATTAGAGAATACACATCTAGCAAAGATAGCATCCTTCTCAATTTTTAAACAATTTACAGCGTCCTCATGGCTGCATTGGAATCTTCTTGCTTTATACAGATCAGGTAGAAGATATGCTTTATTAGTTGCATTACATGCATCTCCCTCCCATTTGAAATATCAGAACAAATTTGTTTTTGAGCAATGCCTGGCTTCCATCAGCTTCTCCAACTAGGATAGTCTATCGTATTAACCTAAGGTTGAACTTCATCAAAATACATGACTTTAACCCAATTTTATCAAAAAAAAACTTATAGCCAGAGTCAAAAGTGAATGTAACAAACTAAGGACACATAAGGAGACAAGCAAAAACGAAAAAAAAGATCAGGAAACAGCACAGACACTCAGGAACAGTTAACACAAAACAAAAATAGCCACCAACATTCAAAACATAAAGAAATCCAACTGTAGGATCACTTGGTACTACACACCAATCAGATTGATGGAAAAACAATGGCAGTACACAGATGGCTCATAGGTATTGATCTCTGAAACTGTTAAATTTAGCTATTTTTCTTCATTCATTCAAGAAACACGTGAGTGTTGCTGCTAGGCTAGGATTTGTCACCCAAAAGGACACTTACAGTCAACCACATTGCTCTGTGTCTGGAGTCGCATGAAGGCCAGACCAGGTAAGGATGGCAGACTTCCTTCCTGAAGGGACAAAGAGTTTTTTTTCCCCAATTCATTTGTGGGATATGGGCATCGCTGGCTGACCAGTATTTATTGTCCGTCCCTACTTGCCCTTCAGATGTTGGTGGCAAGCTGCCTTCTTGAACCGCTGCACTTCACCTGCTGTGGATTGATCCACAATGCCATCAGGGAGGGAATTCCAGGATATTGACCTAGGACAAAGGAGTTTTTTAAAATTCATTTGTGGGATATGGGCATTGCTGGCTGATCAGTATTTATTGCCCGAACCTAGTTGCCCTTCACATGTTGCTGGCAAGCTGCCTTCTTGAACCACCTGCTGTGGGTTGACGCACAATGCCTTTAGGGAGGGAATTCCAGGATATTGACCTGATGACAGTGAAGGAACAGCGATATATTTCCAAGCCAGGATGGTGAGCGGCTTGAAGGGGAACTTGTAAGTGGTGGTGTTCCCATGTATCTGCTGCCCTTGTCCTTCTAGATGGGAGTGGTTGGGGGTTTGGAAGGTGCTGTCTGAAGATCTTTGGTGAATTTCTGCAGTGCATCTCGTAGATTGTACACGCTGTTGCTACTGAGCGTCGGTGAGGGAGGGAGTGGACGCTTGTGGATGTAGTGCCAATCAAGCATGCTGCTTTGTCCTGGATGGTATCAACCTTCTTGAGTGTTGTTGGAGACATCCAGGCGAGTGGGGAGTATTCCACCACACTCCTGACTTGTGCCTTGTAGATGGTGGACAGGCTCTGGTGAATCAGGAGGTGAGTTACTCACCGCAGTATTCCAAGCCACTGACTTGCTCTCAAAGCCACTGTATTTATGTGGCAAGTCGAGTTGAGTTTCTGGTCAATGGTAACCCCAAGATGTTGATAGTGGGGGATTCAGTGATGGTAACACCATTGAATGTCAAGGGGCGGTAGTTAGATTGTCTATTATTGGTGATGGTCATAGCCTGGCATTTGTGTGGTGCGAATGTTACTTGCTGCTTGTCAGCCTCATCATGGATATTGCCCAAATCTTGTTGCATTTGAACATAGACTGCTTCAGGCAATATCCTGAGGAACTCCTTCAGGGGTGTCCTTGAGCTGAGATGACTGACCTTCAACAACCACAACCATCTTCCAATGTGCCAGGTATGACTCCAACTGGCAGAGAGTTTGCGCCCTGATGCCCATTGATTCCAGTTTTGCTAGGGATCCTTGATGCTACAGTCAGTCCAATGAAACCTTGTCGTCAAGGGCTATCGCTCTCACCTCATCTCTGGACTTCTTTTGTCCATGTTTGAACCAAGGCTGTAATGAGGTCAGGAGCTGAGTGGCCTTGGTGGAACCCAAACTGAGCGTCACTACTGCTGAGCAGATGCTGCTTGATAGCACTGTTAATGACACCTTCCCTTTACTGATGATTGAGAGTAGACTGATGGAGCAGTAATTGGCCAGGTTGGGGTTTGTTCTGCTTTTTACATACAGGACATAACTGGGCAATTTTCCACATTGTCGGGTAAATACCAGTGTTGTAACTGCACTGGAACAGCTTGGCTAAGGGAGAAGCAACTTCTGGAGCACAATCTTCAGTATTATTGTTGGACTGTTGTCAGGGTCCATAGCCTTTGCAGTATCCAGTACCTCCGACCATTTCTTAATATCATGTGGAGTGATTCGAATTGGCTGAAGACTCGTAAACTGTGATGGTGGGGACCACTGCAGGAGGCAGAGATGGATCACTCACACAGAACTTCTGGCTGAAAATTGCTGCAAATACTTCAGCTTTATTTTTTGCACTGTTGTGCTGGGCTCTTCCATCATTGAGGATGGGGATATTTGTGGAGCCTCCTCCTCCAGCGAGTTGTTTAACTGTCCACCACTATTCTTGACTGGATGTGGCAGGAGTACTGAACCTAGATCTGATCCATTGGTTGTGGGATCGCTTAGCTGTCTATCACCTTTTGCTTATGTTGTTTGACATGCAAGTAGTCCTGTTTGGTAGCTTCATCAAGTTAACATCTCATTTTTAGGTAGGCCTGATGTTGTCCCTGGCACAGCCTTCTATAGTCATCATTAAACCACGGTTGATCCCCTGGCTTGATGGTAATGGTTGAGTGGGAGGCCTGCCAGGCCAGGAGGTTGGAAACTGTGCAGGAATACAACTCTGCTGGAATTGATAGCCCACAGTGCCTAATGAATGCCCAGTCTTGAGTTGCTAGATCTGTTTGAAGTCTGTCCCACTTAGTACAATGACGGTGCCACACAAGACGTTATTCTCAATGTGAATGCAGGACTTCGCCTCCCAAAGGACTGTGAGGTGGTCACTCTTACCAATACTGTCATGGACCAATGCATCTGCAGCCGACAGATTGGTAAGCACAAGGTCAGTATGTTTTTCCCTCTTGTTGGTTCTCTCACCACCTGCTGCAGACCCAATCTAGCAGCTATGTCCTTTTGGACCCATCCAACTCAATCAGTAGTACTGCTGCCAAGCCACTCTTGCAGGTGAACATTGTGGGTGAGGGGTTTCAGTCAGATAGATTTTACAACATTTTTTTTTATTACTAGGCCAGTGACATTAACACTATGCTGCTGCCTCCCCTCAAATGATCATGTCACCCACTAACCAAACAAGCCCTCAAAAGGTGACACTGATCAAATAGACCAATTGAAAGTCAAGAAACAATAACTTTTAAACAGTGTCTAATATAATTGTCCCAAGGCACTTCATAAGAACATCATCCTTTAATTTTCTGCACTAGGATTTGTAAGGTTCTATAAAGGAGCATCTTGAAGCAGAGTTACAACAATTCTAAATATTTATATTGCCAGGAATGCCACTGTCTCTCAATTTTTTTCTTCTACATTGTTCATCTCACAAATGTACTGTTTAACAAACAGAAAGCTTGTCTCAAAAGAGTCTTATATTTGGCTAAGCAGTCTTTAAATAAGGACAAAAAAGCTATTAGAGATAAGTTTGCAATTTAGAAAATAAATGTTAAAACCATCCGACAAACATGTTCCAAAAATATAAAAGATTTAGAATAACAGGCCTATTGGAGGCATTAAAAGTATTAGTATACACCCCTGTTTAAAAAAAAAACCTTTTCACATTTTCCGCCTCTGATGTGTAAATACAACACTCAGAGTGGCCTCAAGTCTTTATTGAATTATAGTAATGTTTTCCATTTCTGTGAAACAGATGATCTACCATAGGTAATCAAGCTTTTTAAAAACCGAAAGAACTGCGAATGCTGTAAATCAGAAACCAAAACAGAAATTGCTGGAAAAAGCTCAGCAGGTCTGGCAGCATCTGCGGTGAGAAATCAGAGTTAACGTTTCGGGTCGAGTTCTGAAGAAGGATCACTCGATCCGAAACGTTAGCTCTGATTTCTCTCCACCGATGCTGCCAGACCTGCTGAGTTTTTTCTAACATTTTCTGTTTTTGTAATCAGGCTTCTTGTTGTGGTGTTACGTTCTGTCTAAATGCTGGAGTTTTTTCTGAAATGCGTTTCTTTGCTCATCAGTTAGAGATATTGTCTGACAATGAATTATAAGTACTAATAAAACCCAAAATCTATCAAACTTCAATTCTGGAACATACACCAGAAAACTTACAAATAGCACCGAAAGATTTTTTTATAACCTAGCCGCTTGGAATTTTACACTTAAATAATCATAACGGATAACCATCCATGTATACTTACTCTCTTGTCGTATTACAATAAATAAAGCATAAATTCTTCACTTCAAAGTAAATTGACTATTCTACTCCATATAAGCTGCCATATTGAAAGGAAGTGATCTTCAGACACAGCGCGCAGGTGATTGACATCTGTGTGAACCAATCAGGTGCGCTACCATGTGCTGGAGGGCGGCTCACCATGACGTTGGCGAAGGCGAGTCGCAGTCATCAATGCGCATGTGGGTGTGCGCGAGGGAATTCCGTTACAGTCGCACGGACCATGGTCTTCTCCCACTCCGGACGGTTGAGCATTTGCGCATTTGCGCATGTGTAGCATTTCGGTTTGAGTTCGTGACTTCCCTGTGATATGGGCTTGCTGGCCGATGGCGGTTGTCATCCGGTGATTATTGGAGAGTAGATGAGACGGGCCGAGGATGAAAGAGAATGGGGAAGCTAAGCAGATGGAAGTGGACGCCGAGTCGAGAATGCAGATCCCCGCTGTGGACAGGGAAGCGGTGCAGGGTCTCGGCAGGAGCTTGAAGCAGAAGTGCGCCGCATATGTGCTTGCACTGCGGCCCTGGAGCTTCAGCGCCTCACTTACCCCTGTTGCCCTGGGTACGGCCCTGGCTTACAAGAGCCTGGGCGAGCTCGATCTGACCATTTCCCTACTGGCTGCCTTGGCCGTGCTGGCCGTACACGCAGCTGGTAACCTAGTGAACACTTATTACGACTTCAGCCGGGGCATCGATCATAAGAAGAGCGACGACCGGACCCTGGTGGACCGGATCCTAGAGCCACAGGACGTGGTACGGTTCGGAGCCTGCCTCTACACTTTGGGCTGCCTCTGCGCCTGTTTCCTCTACTTTTTGAGCAAACTCAAACTTGAGCACTTAGCTCTGATCTTCTTCGGCGGCCTATCCAGCTCCTTTCTGTACACTGGAGGTGAGTAAGAAGGAAAGAAGCAGGATGTTCCTTTATTTCGCTTTAGAGACCTTTAGCTGGAGCGATTCATATTTTGCTCTGAAGAAGAATAGCCAGACTCGAAGAGTTAACTCTGTTTTCTCTCCACAAATGCTACCAGACTTGCTGAGTTGCTCTGGCAATTTCTGTTTTTGTCTCCGATTTTCGGCATCCGCGGTTCTTAATTTTAATATTTTGTCGTTGTTTTGTTATAGAGTCATGCAGAACAAAAACAGATCCTTCGGTCCAACTTGTCTTGCGTCAACCAAACATCTCAATCTGACCTAGTCCCATTTGCCAGCATTTAGCTCATATCCCTCTAAACTCTTATTCACATACCCATCCAGATGCCTTTTAAATGTTGTAATTGTATCTGCCTTCACTACTTCCTCTGGTAACTCGCACCACCCTCTGCGTGAAAAAGTTACCCCTCAGGTACTCTTAACTCTTTTTCCCCTATCACCTTAAATCTACGCCCTCTAGTTTTGGACTCCCCAACAGTAGGGAAAAGACCTTAGCTATTCCTCTATCCATCCATTTCTATTAACTCACTTTTACTGCTTGCTCTTATGGAAAAATAGTTTTGAAAGTGATACGGCTGGTTTCTGTTCATGCCTAGAGTCCTAAGAAGCTATCTGAAAACCACATGTATTAACTTGATGTCTTTTAAAAATGTATTTTGGAAATCTGAAACTGTGGGTAAATCAGTATGAATGAGAGAGAGAGACAATTTTCATCAAAGCTGAATTATTTTTATTTCAAAAGAAACAGTGATTGGCCAATAATGTTGCTATCTCCTTCACTTGTTTTCATTTGCAACTTCCTTGACTTCTGCTTTTTTTGTTACCTACTGCCACAGAAGGAAATGAGATGCAGAATGGCTCAAATATTTCTACCATTAAGAATGACCAATTTCTATCTCGTAGTTTAACTGACAATTGCCATTTTTTTTCTGTAATTATTCTTGTGACTAAAAGACAAATTCTGCACCCTAACACAGTTTTCTATATTAAATTGTAAGAGAAATTGTCTCATCCCATAATAAGCTGGGAGTAACATACCTGATTCAAAGGAGGAGAGGCTTGAAAACTTCAAAATCTGGGCTAAGAGGTATTCTGGAAAATAGAATTTAAAAAAAGACAAGAGGGAGGTGGCAGTATTGATCAAACAAATTATTTCACTCTCTGGAAAGGCATGATGCAGATGGATTTAGGATAGTCTTTTCATAGAATTGAGGCGTGGCTTGCTACTGAGTATGTACTAGGCCGCCAGACCAAAGGAGGTAGAAGAGCAAACAACAGAAATTTTCAAGAACAGGAAAGTAGTAATAATGTCAGGCTTCCTTTATCTTGGGATATAGACCAGGATAGTGACTGTAAAGGGCAGGAAGTAGGAAGTATTAGGACTATTCCTCTTTCTGATTAACGTCAATAATATCAAAACTCACCATGTCCTTTCAGTGTTTCCAACCAAATGAGACTTGGTAATGTCATAAACAATGAACATGCAACAGACTTCTAGACAATGAATATTGTTAAAATGTGGACAGACCTCTGGCAGATGAAATTTAATGAACAGACCTATGATCTTAGGAGGAAGAATGAACAGATTTAATGTCAAATAAATTGTATGCAGGAATAGAAGGATAAAACTTTGAACGTGGCTTGGGAAACTGCGAAGGCTGACAAAAGAGCATGTGGCTTCTTGACTTTAATCTGGGGCAAAGCAAGAAATGGCAGTAAACCGAAGTAACATAATAGTTAGGTCTCAGGTGAAGTATTATCCTGGTGATAAAAAGCAAAGCCTGAGAACAGAATGGGTGTGGCCCGAGAGTAACTGTACAAGTGGACAGCATCAAAACTGGATAGAGGGACAAATGACAGCAAAATATTGCAAAGAGCAGAGAATGCCTAAGGCCCCTTCTGGGCTACAGCTAATTTTGGACTGTTTTGTTCAGTTTTGATTACCACACTTTGCCAAGGTCTAATCATTCCTGCAGAACTTACTAGCTAGATTGGAGGAATATGGGTTATATGGAAGTAGTGGAGAAACTGAACTCTTGGAATAGAGGCGTTGGGAAGATATTTGATAAAGTTATTTGAAATCATGAATATATTTGAGGAAAACAATAAAGGACAGACAGTTTTTTGATGGGAAAAGGATGAATAACAGGATTTTAAGGTCATTGCAAATGAACCAGGTGACCCGAGGAGTATTTTTTTGGTTAGTTTTTTTTGGTTATGAGTATGTCGTTCAAAAGTAACATTCAAAAGATAATTTGGCAAATGCTTGAAAGGAGAAAATTCTTACCGCTGTAAGAACTGGGACTATTTGGAAAGCTCAATTGAAGAGATGTGCCAGACAGGTTGAATGCCTGCTAAGGGTATTCTTCCAAGATTCCTTTACTTTTAAATTGGCAGGTATAAAGAGCAAATATCAAGTCTGTATTTTAGCTCTTCCCATATACTAAATCAGTCCTTAGTTATCCTGTATTTTAATTCTTAAATGCTTAATTTTGAAACTAAATTTCAATAGAAGAGAATTAAGATGTATTCTGTCCCACCACTTGTAATGTGCATTTGCAACAGGTTTGTAATTTTTTCCATCAATTCCCAAGTTCATGAATGTGCAACCTTTCGCAAAGTAGTCAAGAACATTGTGCTGTAAATATATATTGCTGTAAGTATATTAACACACAAGCGTTATTGTACAAATGATTTACGTTTTGCAATAATGCTAAAGTTGTACTGAAAACTTATCCTGAATTGATAAAAATTCAACTACAGAGAGGCAAACCTGCTTGATTTTCCATTTCTTTGTTTTGCCTGAGTTATTTTCGACTTTCTCAGTTTCCTTTGTTCCTGAAATTCACTCTGTACCAGCATATGTCTGCTTCAGCTCTGTACTTCCTGTGTGCTCACACCTTTCCACATTTATGCGCTTTGTTCTTTGTTCTGTCACTGAGGTGCCCACTTATGAGAGAGCACCAATATGGTGCTGTCTATTGAAAACGATGAGAGGAGCAACAGCTGCTGCTGTTTCTGGGGTGTACTGGAAGTGTAATTGACATTACTTGCTATATGGTATAGGTGGGATTTGAGGTTACTTGAATATTGGCTGGATGTGAGTGGAATTGTCATGAAAAGGGCAGGGCTGCTGACATCTTTGGACAGCTCCGCAGAGAGAGTTACCATCCTTCCCACTCCCATTCCAGTACAGGGCAACAAATTAAGTGTCATAACAAAAAAAAATCAGCAACATTAAGTTACAGCTCATCAATTAAAGCAACTTTATTTGAATGCAACGTATAATGCAACTCCCAGCAATTGCATGAACAGTCGAAGGAATGCAAATAATGTGTGCATCTAGTTAAATCCAAAAGCTGTTTAAAAAATCAAAGTTTCATTATCAACAGTAGCATATTCATTCATTTCTTACTTTTACCATTATCATCCTATTTGATGCCAAGTAGAAAATAGCCTGTATAAATAAGAACGCTGCTTTAAGATTTATTTCCTTGATTCCAAAGATGAGCTAATCATTTTGGGATTTGCACAGTGGGAATTCCTGCTCTGCCATAGCTGTTCCAGCTGTGTAGAAAAGGGAATTTTTTAATGCATGCTTGCATGACATATTAACTGTGCATCAGTTAGCAGTATATTAGATCAGAAGAAAAGGGGGATTTATTACAGTGATTTGTTTATAGCTTAATTATTGCTCATGTTTTGTTTTAACGTTCCAAGAGGTGGGGCAAGAGTGAAAGCTTTGGACATAAAGGCAGCAGTTGACCATGTGTGGCATCATGGAGACTTGCCAAAATTAATGTTAATAGGAATAAGTGGGGAAGTTCTCCACTGGATGAAGTCAAAACTTTAATAAAAAATAGGTGGCTGTGTAGTTAAAAGCCAATTACCTCAGTCCCAGTACGCGTTCTAAGAGTTCCTCAGGACAGTATCCTGAGTCCAGTCATTTCATCTGCTGCATCAGTGACCTTTCTGCAGAAGTTTGTTGCTGATTGCACGATGTGCAGCACCATTTGCAACTCTCCAGATACCAAAGCAGCCTGTGTCCGCAAGCAGCAAGACCTGGACAATATTCAGGCTTGGGCTGAAAAATTGCAAGTGTTATGTCATGTAATTACAAGGCAATGACCATTTTGGACAAGAGATAATCGAGGTTTCTCTCCTCCCCTTCAAAGGCATACCATCAACGTCTTGGAGATAACCACTGACTAACATAAAGACTAGTCAGCAGGTCACAGGTTTGGAATTCTTTGGCAAGTATCTCTTCTGATGTCCTCTGTCTACAAGCTGTGAGTTAGGAAATACTCCTTATTTGTTTGAGTGAGTGGAGCCCCAACAACACCATCCATTACAAAGTAACCCAGTTGGTCAGCAATCAGTCTAGCGTGTTTATCCCCCAAACTTGTCTACTGTAGCTGCAATACTTACCATTGAAAAGATGCATTGCAACAACTTAGCAAAAATTTCTTAAAAGCAACATCCAAACCTGTGGCTTCTATGACCTAAGAGAAAGCAACAAGTGCAAGTTTCCTTCCAAATCACATACGGTCATGACTTGCAACTATATCGCTGTTCCTTTGCTGTTAATGGATCTTACACCATATGGTACTTACACCACATGGATTCCAACAGTTGAAGGATTCAAATAATCAGCACAATGAAGGACGGACAATAAATGTTGGTATTGCCAGCAATGGCCACATTCCATGAATGAATAAATAAAAGCTGTTGAGCAATTATTATAGTAGATCTACATAATCTAAGTTGCTCAAAATTGAATACATTGTGTGTTTACAATGTTTTGGGACTTAAACATTGGGACAGATAATGTCTTTATTATCTTGCAGGGATACTTAGTGTGTGTTGAAACCATGTTGAATCACATTTCTCAAACTCGAACATAACTGAATAACAGGTAGTCAGTTTCTGAGGTTTTGTTTTGGTTAAATGCTATTGAGTGACTGTGTACCTGAGTGTTACCATCAAGTCGAGAGGGATGAATGTATTTCTGTCTTTACTGCTGAACTTAGTAGAGTCTGAATTTCTAAAATGATGTGATGTCCCAATTCATTACAAGTTGGCCATGTAAACATAAGCAATTCAGCTGGATTTCTTCAGAGAGCAACTAATAAGTTTGTTTTAATATTTTAAAACCTCCTTTCATAAAAGGGTGAATGTTATTAGATTAAAACCATCTCAAATCCCACAGCATATGCACACACTATCCTGCAAGTTGCTGTGTTTGCTCGCATGTTAAGGTACAGTAGAATTGGGAAAAATGTTAAAGTCCACAAGAAAATAGATTTATTTTCGGCTGTTGGTCTTGAAGTTCCAGTTGAGTTGTGGCCAAGCTGGTTGAGACAGTTTCGTTTAAACTGTAGTTTGTAATTTCCGGAGGGAGTGCTACAGGATTTGAAGTGCATTTTATTTTAGAATTCTACATCTATACTTCAACTTGTAACAGACACAGGATCTGAGCTTGATAAGACTGTTCGAAGAGGGCTTCTGTACTTTGATTACATCCTAAGGCTGCATTGATGTTACTGCCTTCTGTAACAAACGGACAAGCTTATAATTTTAGTTCTTCACAGGGGAGATTTTGTTTAGTGTTGCAAATCACTGGGCAAGTGCACTGTCCTGCTACTCCCAGAGTCATCACAAAAGTTAAAGATTCTATAATATGTTTACAAAGATTCCCCAATTTACCTGATTTTCAGGCCCAGGTTGATAGCACAGAACAGATTTCCGTACTTAACAAACTGCCCACATTTAACACGACTAACTAAAATTGTAAACAACTTAGAAATTCCCCCTTACGTAAATGCATGCACATGTATACACATACAAATGCACGGAAAAAATACATGGAAGAAGGAAAATTTAAAGCACTTCAGTAGTCTTTGTTCACAAGATTTGTTTAGTTGGTTCTTAGAGTCAGAGATGTTCAGCTCTGAACCAGATCCTTCAGTCCGACTCGTCCATGCTGACCAGATATCCTAAATAAATCTAGTCCCATTTGCCAGCATTTGGCCCATATCCCTCTAAACCTTTCCTATTCATATACCCATCCAAATGTCTTTTAAATGTTGTAATTATACCAGCCTCTGGCAGCTTATTCCAATCATGCGATGCCCTCTGCATGAAAACGTTGCCCCTTAGGTCCCTTTTAAATTTTTCCCCTTTTGTCCTAAACCTGTGCCCTCTAGTTTTGGTGTCCCCCACCCCAGGGAAAAGACCTTGTCCATTTACTCTGTCCGTGCCCCTTATGATTTTACAAACCTCTATAAGGCCACCCCTCAGCCTCCAACGCTCCAGGGAAAGTAGCCACAACCTATTCAGCCTCTCCCTTTAGGTCAAACCTCCAACCCTGGCAACATTCATGTAAATCTTTTCTGAATCCTTTCAAGTTTCACAACATCCATCCTATAGCACAGAGACTAGAATTGCACTCAGTTTTCCAAAACTGGCCTAACCAATGTCCTGTCTAGCCACAACATGACCTCCCAAGGGTTCAGGCCCGAAACGTCGGCCTTCCTGCTCCTCTGATGCTGCTTGGCCTGCTGTGTTCATCCAGCTCTACACCTTGTTATCTCCTATACTCGGTACACTGACCAATAAAGGCAAGCAGACCAAATGCCTTCTTCACAATCCTATCTACCTGCAACTCCACTTTCAAGGAACTATGAACCTGCACTCCAAGCTCCTCTTCAGCAATACTCCCCAAGACCTAACCATTAAGTGTATAAGTCCAGCCCTGATTTGCCTTTCCAAAATGCAGAACTTCACATTTGTCTAAATTAAACTCCATCTGCCACTCATTGGCGCATCGATGAAGGTCTGGCAGTACTCTTCGATAATCGGCTTCACTGTCTACTAAATCTCCAGTTTTGGTGCCATCTGCAAAGTTACTAACTGTATCTCCTATGTCCACATTCAAATCATTTATATTAATGATGAAAAGCAGTGGACCCAGCACCAATCCTTGTGGCACACTGCTGGTCACAGGCCTCTAGTTTTGGACAAACCAAGATGAACCAGGGAAAAAGTTGTGGCTGTAAGAGTTGCTCCTTTTTTTTTGTTTTTGAGGTATTTTCAGTGTTGAAGCTGACTTCCCTGAATTTTAGAATTATAAACTGTTGCATTGTTTTGGAACTTTGGTTCTGGTTGATTAGAAGGTTTCTTCTAGGCTTTCTTTTTGAATGTTTGCAAGAGACATAGGGTGGCTGGTTCACTATAAAAGATCTCTCTAATATATCAATTTTGAAAGATCAAAACTTATAGCACTTGCTGAAGAACAGACAAACTGGTTTTCTTCACCTTTTAAAGTAGGTTTTGACTGCAAAGAACAAGTACAACTGTTAGGGATCAGATCATTCTCTGTTTTATTCCCAGCCACAAGCTGCCCTGTTGCTTGAGAATCAATCATATGGTTGTTGGTGAGCAAATAGCTTTTGTCATCAATAAATGGCTACCAGTCCATAAACCAATCAACTTTTGTTTCAAACCAAAGCTCCATCATTAAACAACACCTCTGCTCCAGTTATTTCGCCAACACTGCCGTAACCCAGAGCTATAGAAGTGTTTGTAATGAATATAGTAATATTTGCTTTCAATCCATGCAGCAATCTTTGCAAATCATCTGTATTAAAACAGTTTTTTTTTCCACTTCAGTCCACAGTTTGTGGTGGAGAAGGGGGGGTGGGGGGAGGGGAGAGAAAGCAACAAAAAGAAAAAGACACGGTCTTTATAAGTGATGGTTGTTTATTGGCACAAATTGGAGGTAATCAATATTAATGAAAGAATTGTGATCCCTCCGTTGTCAAATCTGTCTGGATACCTTGAAACAAAGGGATTCCTTAGTTTCTCTTTGCATAATGGGTTTTGGGTAACCTCCTTTGTTCTTGCCTTTTCCGCAGGTCTGTTGTTTCAGTTTCAACTATCTTAATGCAAATCAGTTCCTTAGCAAATGTTGTTTAGGCATTTTTTTAATTGCGTATTATGCTTAGCCAACTTTCATGTCATAGCTTCTGCATCTGTTTTTAAAACCGTATCCTGACTCACTTTTTTAGGTTTTCTTCTTAAATAAAGTCCCATCTAATTCAGTGGATGTAATTAGATTAGTAGTCCATATGCTGTGTCACAACTTTGTATGTGGGTATACTCAAAATTTATTCTAAATCTTTTCTCTTTTTGGACTTGCAGGTATTGGATTTAAATACTTTGCTCTCGGTGATATCATCATTCTGATCACCTTTGGACCATTAGCTGTGATGTTTGCCTATTCCGTGCAAGTCGGTTACTTGGCCATTTCACCACTACTTTATGCAATTCCTTTAGCACTCAATACAGAAGCCATCTTGCACAGTAACAATACCAGAGACATGGAATCTGATAAGCAGGCTGGGATTGTCACCTTTGCTATCATTATTGGGCCAACGTTATCTTACATTGTGTATAACATGCTGATATTCGTACCCTATGTGATATTCTGTATATTAGCAACTCGATATACAATCAGCCTTGCATTACCACTTTTGACTGTACCTTTGGCCTTTTCACTTGAGCGGCAATTTCGAAGCCAATGTTATGCCAAAATTCCCCAGATGACTGCGAAACTGAATCTTTTTCTCGGATTGTTCTATGTTTTTGCCATTTTGTTAGCACCATCTGGAAGTTTACCAAACTAAAATGGCGCAGACTCCTTTTCTATATTTCAAAAATCAAAATTGAAGTTGCTGAAGCTTTCTTAAAGTAGAAAAGCTGGAACAGTACGTGTTCTAATTAAGTCTCTATTCCTTTTAAGCAAAAATTTGTGAACATTTTGCAGCTACTCCAACTTCCACTCCTTAGCAAACGTGCAGCTTGCATATGAAAATTGATTGGTGCGCAGTGTGCTTTTTAAACAACGGTTTTGACACCAGGAAAACAGCTTGCAAATGTACACAATGGCCCATGTTTTCAGTGTCATCATTGGTGGGAAACTATATCACAAGTGGATTTAAACTCAGGCTACATTAGATTTTGATTCATTAGACCTAATCCTTTGTATAGTTTGTTCTTGTGTATAAAATCATGGATAATGAAAACCCGAATTGGTCATCCAATTTTTACATCTTGATAGCTTTAATTTAAGCATTAACAAGTTAATAATGGAGGACTGACAGCTTGAAAATGGCTTGTAATATAATTTCATTTTGGTGACAGTTGTAATGGACAAATTTATTTGATTTGCACAATTGGTGTCTGGCAATGCAAAAAATGTGAATTTGTAGTACACATACAGATTTTGTACTGACAAAACTGGTCCTAGGAAGTAACTTCAAATATGTGACCTCTATCTAATTTGAGAGAACTTCAGTGTTGCTTTTTTGCTTTTGTTTGAACTTAATTGTAATTGCATTTTGTTACTTTTTTTATTCTATTATAAGCTGCACTGTTTATTCATAAGGATTGATATTTTGAAGTTGTGTTCAAAATGCACAAATTTAATCATAAAAAGGAGATTGAAAGGCAGGTAAGCTGCTTGGCAAGACTTTGAAAGGGAAACTCGTAGTTTGGAGCATGAAGTATTTAATATTTGTCATTTTACTTTGTAAAAGATTTCAAATGTCTTTGCATTAAATTTTAAGGGAATAAATGGATTCTTGTTTACCTTTTACACTCCCTAGAGTTAGCTGTTCAATTTAATTAACAACCTCTTGGACAGCTGGGAAATGTGTTGGGCAATGAGTGGCCAAAAGCTACTACTTTTGCCATGCTGCTTGTTGGCCTACTTCGTGAGGTCCAGTGATCTTTTTGTCGTTATCTAAGTCCGAGTTGCCCCAAAGTGCAATTTGAGTTCATGAGCTCCACGGCAGCTTTGGCTACCTTGGAGTTTTGTCTCGCCACCCTCCCTTTCCTGTGGTCTCTCAGGTCTTCTTCCGCACTCTTGCATTTCTCACTGAGAGGTCATGATTATTTTCAAGTCTCAAAATCATGTCACAATTCGAAGGTTTGGAAAGCACTGATTTAATTAGTGAGTGAGGTATATTAGTTTTTACAATCAACGTACTGAATTATGCTGTTGCCTTTAAATGTGAAGAAAAAGTGCCAGCAATGTAAGAACTTTCTCCTGTTCAAACCTCCTTTTAGAATCACAATGGCAGTAAAATTGAAAAGCCTCATAATTTGCAGGGAAATAAACATTTTTGGGACCATTTGATTTAGGACAACTAGTTAATTTGTCCGATTTCATACATAAAAGCTTGGTATTTCATTATTTTGAGGATCTCATTTTTAGAATTCTAATTTTATACTTTGGACCTAATTCACTTTAAACTTAATTCTCTCCATTTGAAACTTGCTACATAAGGACTTTCTCTTGTATTGTTTGAACATCAGTGGAGTATTTCCATGAGAAGTTGTAGAAATAGGCATCTGTTCCACCCCTGGATGATTTGTCCTGCAGAAGATTTCTTTTCACGAAATGATTCGAGAAAATACTATTGATGTCAAATAAAGAGAATGGTCTCTTGCCCTTGAGTGCATTTTTTTTATTCAATGCAAGGATGTTTTCATGAAGAAATGTGTTATATTCAAAGATATCCATTTCCCACTTTTAGGAAATGTTAATAATTGAACTTTAATTTCTGTTGCCTTAAATAATTAGTGGCAGAAAGATGCTTTTCAGAATGGAGGGCTGAGACTAGTGTTCCATAGGGATCAGTGCTGGGATCTTTGTCCGTGGTCTACGTAAAGGATTTGGAAGAAACAGTACGCTGGTCTAATTAGTAATTTTGTGGACGATTGTCAAAGAGTATAGCACGATATAGATCAGTTGGAGGCATTCGCAGATGGAGTTTAATCCAGACAAATGCAAGGTGTTGCATTTTGGAAGGTCAAGTACAAGTGGAAATTATACAGTGACTGGCAGAACCCTTAGGAGTATTGATATGCAGAAGGATCTGCCTGTGCAGATTCACAGATCGCTGAAGGTGGCAGCATAGGTAGATAAGGTAGTAAAAAAGGCTATGACATGCTTGCCTTCATTTGGAAGGGGCATTGAGTATAAGGATAGATAAGTTATGCTGCAACTTGACAGAACTTTAGACCACACGTGGAATATTGCGTATCATTCTGGTCACCACACTACCAGAAGGATGTGGATGCTTTGGAGAGGGTACAGAAAAGGTTTACCAGGATGTTGCCTGGTATGTGGGATTTTAGCTATGAAGAAAGGTTGGATAGATTGGGTTTGTTTTCACTAGAATGCAGGAGGTTGAGGGGCAACCTGATAGAAATTTCTAAGATTGTGAATGGTGTGAATAGAGTGGAAAGTATGAGGCTTTTCCCCCCCAGAGTGGAGGGGTCAGTTACTAGGGGACACAGATTCAAGGTATGGGGGTGGGGGAGTTTAAAAGAGATGTGCAAGGCAAGTTTTTCACAAAGGGTGGTGAGTGCTTGGAATATGCCAGAGGAGATGGTGGAAGCAGACACAATAGCAGCATTCAACAAGCACCTGGACGATTACATTAATAGGAAGGGAATAGAGGGATATGGATCCTGTAAATAAAGATAGTTTTAGTATGGTAGGGCAAAATGTGTTGGCGCAGAATGAGAGGGCTGAAGGACCTGTTCCTATGCTGTATTGCTCTTTATTCTAATTAAATATTGAACTGACCCTTATGATGTAGTTTTTCTTTACTTTGTCTTCGATCATTTACATTTTTATTCAAGTGGATAAAGATTTGAGATGCAAAATATATCCATGTTAAGATAAGTTTGTTAATTCACTGTGCTGTGGGGAATACAAAGCACACCATCCCCTCTGCCTATGAACAGACTTCCCGATTCATAGCAAACAAAAAAGAAATTGCTGGCGAATTGCTGGATAGCATCTGTGGAGAGAAAACAGTTAATGTTTTGCGTCCAGTAACCCTTTGTCAGAACTAACTTTTGTTTCAGATTTCCAGCATCTGCAGTTCATTGTTTGTTTTATTTTTCTCCCCTGTTTATGGTTGTTTCTTTTATTAAAAAAAACTTAAGTCTCACTTGCATTGTGGTAACAGTTTTTTTTATCACTTGTTTTGCTGCTCAATACATTGTAATTCTTGAAGTTCATTTCTTGACCGAAGGGCAATTTCCTCCCATTACTAATAGTGTTACTAAATTGCACAATGAAGTTCAATTAACTTGGGCTCAACCATTTAGAAACAAATAATAAGTTAACTGAGTTTTCAAAGGAAATTTGATTCTTTTTAAATTGTGGATACTTTTGTCAAAAAATTTCCTGACAAAATGGAGAGATTCCAAGAGAGTTTATAAAGATGAAGAAATCCTCTCAACTTTGGGGTCTGTTTCTTCTCTATCCTTTCCACTGTTGACATTTGCTTATTCAAACATTAACCATGGATATGTACCAAAAAAGAGTTTTCTGCTAGTGTGGTTGTCTACATGAAGCCAAATTTGGCAGATTTTCAAATCATACTGCTCAGGCACGTCTTTTATTTTAGCAGTTCCAGCATCCCAGAGATTTGCAAACACATACAATCGGACAGAAACAATCTTCTGTTCATGCTGATATATTAACCCGACACAATTTGTTGTCGGAAAATTATAAACCAGTTCAACCCAAACAAATACTCAACAAATAAAACTGACAAATGATGGGAACTTAATTTCTAATTTGTGTTTGGGACAGGTTACTGGGCTGATGGCTGCTTTGTTTTTAAGTACTTTGAAACCTTTTTTGGAATGGATTTGTCTTGGGGAGTCCTTCCCACACACTTCATTCTCCACACACCACATTCTCCAAAACGCGTGAAGAAAAACTAACCTTTCCTAATATCAATATCTATTCTGATCTTTTGAGACTGTCTGTCCACAACAAAGTTTATTGTGGAAAATAAATGCCTATGATATAGGGTATAACATTAGCATTGGCAGAAGATTGTTTTTCACCAGCCAGCCAAAGGCTATAGGTTGGCAGAGTGTGATGAGTGTGGCCTGCATGGGTCTGTGCTGGGACCTCAACATTTTTCTTCAGTTATATGGATATTAATGAGATCACATCTTGAATATGTACAGTATTGGCCTCCCTTGATAAGGAAGGATGTAAATGCTTTGGAGGTGGTTCAGAGAAGATTATTAGATTGACATCTGGAATGAATGGGTTGTCTTCTGAGGAAAGATTGGATATGCCCCAGACTTCTTTTCACTGGAGTTTTGAAGAGTGAGGAGTGACTTGATTGAAGTGTATAAAGTCCTGAATAGTCTTGACAAGATTGATGTAGAAAGAATATTTCTTCATCTGGGTACGTCCAGAATTAAAGGGCACTGTTTTAATATTAGGTATTGCCTTTTCGTGACAGAAATTGGTAGGGGGAGAAAAGTTAATTGTTTTGCAATTTTGGAAGTCCACTTCAAGAGGTGGGATCATTAAATATTTCAGAGTTTTAATTTTTTTTAAATTTTCAGACAGTTGGGTAGATTCTTGTTAGGTAACAGAATCAAAGGTTGTTTAGGGTAGATGGGGATGTGGAATTCACAATGCAAGTAAATCAGCCATGATCTTACCGAATGGTGGAGCAGGTTCAATGGGTCGAATTATCTATTTCTGCTGTTGTACGTTTGTCTGTTTTGTACTAATATTGTTTTCCCTTAAGCACAAGTATTATTTGATATCAAAATTTCAAATTCTTCATTAGCTTTTAATACACAGACTAATAGTTAATAATCTCTAATTGCTCTCTATTAGTCAGAAACTTATAAACTAGTATTACTTCTGAGCACAAAATGATGCTCATTGCATACCAAACTTGAAAGAACAAAATCTACAAATGTACCATAAGTTTTTTTTTGATGGTTCTAGTAGGTTTTAGAATTAATTTTCCAGTTGCAGTAAAACTCCAATGGCAGTGATCGCATTGGCTTTACTTTTATGGAGTCAAACCGTCATTCATTAGACGGTAGTCTATTCAGGTTAGTGTTACTAATGAATTTTAAGATGTTCTATGAAGTCAGTTTAATCCACATTTTGATTCTTATCTAATTTTTCCCAAACTAGTTTCTTGGCCTAATATGATGCAATCCAAAGTGAAAACAACCCACCTCCTAAGCCTTAAGGTGATATTTCACTATAAAAGCTTAGTTCTTTGACTGACTAGTCATGTGTTTTCAGAAAGCTAGAGTACTTGTTGGGAATAGGTGACCTCTAGTTTAACCAGGAAATTGATCATAGTTTCCAGATCACTTTTGTCTTTGTTTTTAAAACCATATGTTAAAATTGTTCAGGTTATCCTTTGAACCTTTGCATGTACTATTGTAGATGCTATACTTAAAGCTTAGCAATTTTTTGGCAGTAGTTATTCTTTCTCCTCGTCCACATTTCACTGCCTGACACTCATTTCTATAACACTGCCTGACACTCATTTCTATAAAGCCTATCATGTATCCGTGGGTACAGTCCTGTCTAGTTGTCCCAACTCTCTCGCTGTCCTGGTTTGGATTAGCCAGCATCACTTCACAGTTCTTAATATTTATTCCTATAGGTATGGCATGTCAAATACATAGCCAGAGATAGTAGGAACTGCAGATGGTGGAGAATCTGAGATAACAAGGTGTAGAGCTGGATGAACACAGCAGGCCAAGCAGCATCAGAGGGGAGGAGGGTAACTTCTTCAGGGTAGGCATCCTTAGAAGAGGCTTCGCAGTGGGGTTAAAATTGTTTCAGAGATAGTAGGATTTCTGAAGAACGGTCTAGGCCTGAAACATCAGCCTTCCTGCTCCTCTGATTCTGCTTTGCCTGCTGTGTTCATCCAGCTCTACGCCTTGTTATTTCAAATACATAGCCAAGTGGTTTTTAAATGCCGTATGGTTTTGTGACTCTACCACTGTCTTTTTTTTGGACTTGGGTAATAAATGGATTAATTTACATGACCTTTCTTTGTTATATGCACCTGCATGTTACTTCCTGACAAATTTCAATCCAGTGGAATGTAACTGTAAAGGGTGGTTCTAGTATTAATCAAATAATGGTTTTAGTTATGTTTATTACTTCAGCTGATTATGTATTAGTAGCAGTGTTTGGGAGCAGAGTAGCTATCATCCTCTGCCATTTATTTTTTTTTTATTTTGGGGTTGGGAGCCATTCTTGTGGGATAATAATAGTGTCCCAACCTCTGGGCCAGAAGATGAGTGTACAAGTCCCACTTGTCCTTGAGATATACCGTAACATGTCCAAACAGATCGGTTTAAAAAAAAATTAAACTGTAAACTGTAGATGGTTTTACCAGACCCATTTGTTTATAGTTCACTCAATTTAGAGAAGCGTTAGGTAGACTAGGTTATGCTGTCTGATCTAATAAAATCAGAATAACACTAAAATGTTAATATTAAATGGAAGTTTCAAGTAAAGTATCTAATCTTGGTATAAGCTACTATTTTGATGTTGTGTACACATGGTTGTCAGTTCAAAACTTTAGCGCTGATCAGCAGGTTGCAGATGCCAATCCGGGAAAGGTTATTGAATTTACCAATGCATGCCAAGACCAGGATTACTCCAACTGTAAAGGTGCTGATTTTGACATGCGGTTTTCAGGACCTGTGCTTTGTATATTGCAAAAAAAGTTGTTATTTAACCGCTGCATCTCAAAGTATAATGCAGCTTTTATTGCGAGATCAAGAAGTTCAAATTATCAAAAACAAGTATTTGCAGAAAATGTTTTTTCTTGATTTATTTGTCACAAACCAACAAATGTCTGTCTAGATTATGAAAATTTGCAGTAGTCTTTATTTCAATGTAACACATTTGAAATAAAATTTTCTCAGTTGCACTAACTTGTACTTTGTATAAATCTGCCCTGTTGTTTAAGGTTTTAGCAAAAATTTGTAGCTCGGGTTGACGGTGAGGTTGTTGACTTGCTCGCCGAGCTGGCTTGTTTTTGTTCAGACGTTTCATCACCATGCTAGGTAACATCATCAAGGCCTACGATGAAGCGATGTTGTTCTACTCCACTTGGAATTTATACTGTCCGATCCTTTATGGTGAGTAGTGCCATTTCCGGGTTTATAAATGGGATCCAATTCTATATGTTTGTTGATTGCATTATGGGTTGAGAACCATGCCTCTAGGAATTCCTGTGCATGTCTATGTTTGGCTTAAGCTACTATGGGTACGTTGTCCCAGTTAAACTGATGGCCTTCACTAAGCCGAAGGAACAAATGGGACACCCTGAACACGTCAGAGACGAGCACTAGATAAACTCAAGAAAGACCAGAACATTATAATCCCACCAGCGGACAAAGGGTGCATGACCATCGTCCTGAACAAACCGGACAACAATGAGAAAGCACAGGCACTGCTCACAGATACAAACACTTACCAACAGGTGGCGATAGACCCAACACCACAGATAGGTAATAGGATCACCCAGATGCTGAAGGATGCAGGACAGATAACCAAGATGGACAACATGAGAATGAAACCAGAAGGCACGAACACCTATGGATTTCCTAAAGTACACAAACCAGACAGGCCCCTCAGACCCATAGTCTCCCTATCGGGCACACCTTCACGCAAACTGGCCAAAGACTTACAACTGAGACTGAAACACCTAGTCGATGGATCACTCCATTCCATCCACTCAACCCAAGAATTCCTCAATACCTTCAACGTAAAAATCAGCGATGGTGAGATTATGGTATTCTTTGATGTTACAGCATTATTCATGTCATTCGACATCCCACTAGCCAAAGAAACACTGGCCACATTACCAGAGGAAGCAGGAACGCAGACCAGCAGCTCCATCAGCAATAACAACATACTCAAACTGCTAGACTTGTCCCTCACCATGCAATTAGTTTTTAATGGTCAAGTATAGAAACAGATCAATGGCACACTAATGGGGTCACCCATCTCAAGACTCGTTGCAGAGGCAGTCATGCA